CATTGTTGAGGATCTGAAGGACTCTCCTCATTGAAGGCCTTTCTGCGCTATCAGGATGTGCACAGCTCAAACCCACCAGCAGTAGCTTCCTCATCTCTTCCTCCTTGAACTCCCTGTTCAATCTTTTATCAGCTGCCTCCAGGATCCTTCCCTCGGCTTGCAATCCCCAAACCCAATCAACCAAATGCTCTATTCTCTGACTATCAGGTTCCTTCTCAATTGGCCTCCTAGCACAAGCCACTTCAAGGACAACAACACCATAGCTAAAAACATCAGTTTTCTCAGTTGCTTTCCCTAATTGCAGGTATTCAGGAGCAAGGTAGCCCATAGTCCCTGCAGGAAGTGTCGAAGCAGGACTCTTATCAGGATCCATGAGCCTAGCCAATCCGAAATCACCAAGCCTTGCATTAAACTTTCCATCCAGCATTATGTTGCTGGTCTTTATGTCTCTGTGAGTGACTTGCTGCTCACATTCGTGATGCAGGTAGCAAAGCACAGAGGCCAAGCCAACTGCGATGTTCTTCCTTTGAGACCAACTTAATTGTGTACCATTTTCAGATTCTTGATACAACATTTTATCAAGGCTTCCATTGAGCATAAACTCATAAACAAGTAGCAATTCACCCCTCTCAGCACACCAACCCTGTAGCTGGACCAAATTCTTGTGCCTCAAGCAAGCTATGATTGACAATTCAGCAAGAAACTCAGTCTTACCTTCATGGGAATGCCTCGACCTTTTCACTGCTGCAATTGCACCAGAGGACATGAGGATGGCCAAATAAACATTCCCAAATGCACCGTGGCCTATGATTCTGCTTGAATGAAATCCTCTGGTAGCTGACTTAAGCTCTTTGCAACTAAACTCTCGTGGCCCTGCTACAAACTCTGCTTTGATGTTTTTCTCCGTTCTCCTGCCCTTCCATTTTCTCAGAGAAAGATAGCCGATCACTGAGAAAGCTACACAAAAGAACACCGGACCAGCAATTCCCAGACCCAAACCAAGCTTGTTGTGGTGTTTATTCCCAGAACTAGATCCATGGACACCTGTTATCATCGTCACTGAACTATCAGATACATTATGAGGATGCAATCTGGGTCTCACCGGATGGAAACCAAAACTACGAAAACTCCAACTCTCTATCGAGTGAGTCTCAGAACTTCCTTCCGTTGAAGCTGAAAAACCCACATATATAATCTCTCTGAGGTACCCAGAAAGGTCAATATCCACCGTTAAGAGTGGACGTTGGGGTTTAGAATCCGAAGTACTCAAGAAAATAATTAGGAGCCTCAACTCATTCTTGTAATCAATCCAAGCAGTGATACGATTCCCACTCTTTAGATCAATCCCTTGCGAGCTTGGATCGGCAGTCTTGATCGAATTCAGACTGTCAATATCAAAACCGACATGATTATCATTTGGGTCACCAAAATGGGGATCAAGCCTCGTATCAAACTCAACCACGATGAACCTGTTCTTGGTCAACTGCGAAGAATTAACCAGACCCAGATACCCTCCAGGACTACCCAGAGTCTGATTATCCGGAGACATAAAAAAAGCCAACCCACCACCAAAAGAAGCAGTCAAGTTATTGATCGAGAATGAGAAGCTCGTGTTGAAAGAAGCCGTAGTATTGGATTCTTGGTGGAAAAACGGAATTGGGTAGTTGTAAATTACGGTGCCGGAGCTGGAAGAGGGAACACCTAGCCCTTGGGTGAGGCCGAAGACGCCATCCCGGAGATGGGAGTCGCCTAGGAGAGTGAAGCTGCGCAGAGTGAAAGAGCGGAAATCAAAAATCACATTGTCCGCAGAAGCAAGAAAAAACTTGGGTTTGGAGCTGAAGGAAAGGGCGAAGAGGAAGAAGAAGAATAAAACAAGAAGCTCTCTTGACTCCATAAATCAAAGGGACGGGTTGTTTCAGAGAAACTTTGATTGAGGAAACCAGAGGTTGAGTTGAAGAGGAAGAAAGAGAGGGGAAATCGGGTTTAAACGATTGCAACATGGGCGCGCGGAGATGGGGATAACGTTTTTTATTTTTATTTTTTATTTTTAGTAAGCTCACGGTATCTGTTACTCACATTAAAGGTTTTAAAGGTTTTAGTAATTAGAAATCGAATTACTTCGGATTCTTATTAAAAAAAAGTTTTTGAATATTTATTTTTTTATTTATAAAATTTAAAATTTAAATTTTATTTAAAAAAATCAAATTTTTTTTATTTAAACCAACATATTGTTATGACTAAAAATAATGGTGATACCAAAAAAATAGTTGGACTTCGTTTAATTTGACCATACATAATCATTTTTAGGAAGTCATTTTTGGGAAGTACTCTATTTGAAAAATGTTAATTATTAATGGTATTTTGTTTTATAGTTTAGATTGAAATATATTTTTTTATAATTTATAATTAAACTTAAAACAAAAATGTTTATCAGGTGAAATTAAAAAAATTTGAGAAAAAATCTTAAAATTATATCTTTTCATAAATTTCTATAAAAAAGAAAAAAGAAGACTAAAAGGTTCTATGGGGGAAGAAATGGTTGGACTTGATAATAGACATGAATTGGATTAACATGTAAACCAAAATCCATAGAAATCATAGAAAATGTAATCTGATGTCTTGATTATTAAAATTACTCGCATATAAGTTGGTAAGAGAGGAATACATCTACATAAACCATATTAGTTAAACTAATAGCGTCAATGGAACTGGTTCTGCCCACCACAAAGCAGGTTGTTATTGTATCGTATGTACAAAATGAAATGAAAGGCTTTGATTCAATACCGAATGGACGTGGCATCCCCATGTCCGTTCATTCATTTTCCATTTTCATGGTTAATAAAAAAAACGACGTCGTAATGGTAGTTCTGTCTGTTTCTGAAGAAATTCCCAGTCTTTCTTCAACATTTCCCGTTAAACACTGTTTGAGAGTCAAAAGTTGCAATTTTTTCTTCGATAAATGGCTCAAATTTGAGAACCCATTTTTAAAGTATCTTCCTTTTTTCAGGTTTAGATGGATTCTCCGTTGCCTCTGGATAAATTGTCTCTAGGATCAATAGCCAAGTAAGTTTTTCTTTTGATTTCTTTATGTTTATTCCTTCAAGTACGGTTTAAATTTCAGGAATCTTAATAACAACTTTTTAGCTTGACTCTATTCAATTAAGGTAATGAGTAATCTTTGTTCTTGCTTTTCAAACAAGGGACAAGATATGTGTTGTGTTAGTAGCCACTGGGAGCTTCAACCCTCCTACTTTTATGCATTTAAGGATGTTTGGTGAGTATTTTTTTTCATGGGTTTCTTTTATTTGATATGAAGTATGAAAGAAAGTAGTGGATATTATTTCAGGACAGATATGGATGCTTGCATTTGTTGGGTGTAACGTCATCCTGATTTGTCTTGCTTTTTATGCTTAGAGCTGGCAAGGGATGCATTGAATTCAGAGGGATATTGTGTGATTGGAGGCTATATGTCACCCGTCAATGATGCATACAAGAAGAAGGTATGTGGTGTTTTTTAGTAAGTAGTAAATTAAAATTAGATGGTAAAAGCAAAAGTTTTGTTGTTACTGTTTTGAATGCTGTTTTTGTGTAGTCAGCATCTGAATAATAGGTTGGGAGATTGGACAATTTTAGTGTTTAGCTAGCTGTCTTATGCGTTACTCATCATCATTTGGTTAAATAAAGTCAAATGGGTAAGCTGTGTTGGTAGAGAACATAGACTGTTTCGCATTGCCTTTGTGTGTTGGGTTCATAGACAAAGGTAGTTTTGACAATGTTAGTTACCTGACTGCTAATGCAGGGTCTTGTCTCTGCTGAACATCGTATTCTGATGTCTAACCTGGCATGCAAAAGTTCAGAATTTATAATGGTTGATGAATGGGAGGTACTTTATTCCTCTCTCTCCCTCATTGTGCAAACTCATTGGAGATTCTGAAATCAATATTCATTCACAGTTCTTTGTTTATTATAGATTGATTTTGTAGACTAGCATGAGAGTGTTGCATAGCATTGCTACATTTAACTCAGTGACTTCTGAACCTTTATCACAGGCCAAACAAAGTACCTATCAGCGCACTCTAACTGTTCTGTCTCGGGTCAAGAGCTTTCTGACTGATCGTGGATTCATACCCAAGGGTAATACAAGCAGAAGTATTTTCTACTTGCTTTCATTGCTTCACATCTGGGTGGTTGAATTGAACTACATAGTTCTGATCATTTCCTCAAGATTATTTTGCTTCATACAATTATCCGCACAAAGTATGCATATAACTATGTAGGTATGGACATTCATAGACAGGACCACACTCGAAGTGTTTTCCTATGTTTAGGATTACTGTCTCAACTTATAAATGTTCAGCAAGTCATCTGCGTTTTATGCTTGTTTTTTCTAACAAAATTGAGTGTTTTGGAAGATGATCTGGTAGAGTCTCAGTTTCACTGCTCTTTTGCATAAAGAGTTGCTCTCTGCTTGAAGACCTTCATATGGAACCCTATCTTTCTATCGTTGTTGAAGATTGAACTTGCTAATTGCTATTAGGAAACTAATATATAATGGCTTTACAATATCAGTTTTAGGTTTTCTGGTTGCAAAGATATTTATTTATATGCAAATCTGTCATTTTTCTAATACTAATCTTTTTGGCTCTTGTAGAATCCCTTAAGATCATGCTTGTATGTGGTTCTGATTTACTCCAATCTTTTGGAATTCAAGGATTTTGGATCCGTGAACAGGTATTTTTACCTTACTCCATATTGTGTATTCAGCAAGAATCATTGTTATTAATCAAAAGTCTGTCGTTAGTAAACTCACAATCTTAGTGAACAACTGGATGTTGGAAAAATTTTTTTGTTATCTTCTATGCTACTGAAAAGCACAGAGCACAGCATCTATCATATGATGTTCAATAACTTGAGATTGCAGAACCAACATTGGCATCAAAGAAGAGAAGTCTTTTATTGCAATATTTAAACAGTTTTTAATCAAAAGCTAGAAGTTGCGTGGAACAACTTCAAATTCTTTTCTGCTTTGATGGAGGGGAGCAAAAACTTTTAAGTTTGTACAAATTAATTATTGATTATACCACTGCCAGTCTTCTTTTAACCTTCCTTCTTTCTGAAGCTACTCAACACAACCTTCATGTTGGTTTCCAGGTCAGGATCATATGCAGAGACTTTGGTGTGGTTTGCATTCGCAGGGAAGGACAAGATGTGGATAAAATCATCTCAGATGATGAAATTTTAAGGCAAAACATGGTGAGTAACATTATTGACCTCCATCTTTGTTATCTTGTATATTTTTAGTGAGAAATATTAGCTAGGCAATTTAAACTTTAAATAGGAGTTTGGGAACTTAACCAGTTAAATTTCATCTTGCTTTTTGGAGGTTTCATACATCAATCTAAAACATCCCCTATTGATTGTATCAATATGGAAAAATGTTGAATTAAGATTCCTCTCTAAATAAGAGAAGCTTCAATTTGGTTCTCACTGATCATACATCTTAAACATGTCTTGCTGGCCCACCTTACCCATTTTCCTTGTGCTTTCTTTCCTTCTTTCAGGTAAACATTAAAGTTGTCGATGAACTTGTGCCAAACCAGATCAGTTCAACTAGAATGAGGTAAGTCAAATTAGTGTAATGATAAGAAAAGATACAGTAGAGCAGGATAAGTTATCTACGTAGTTGGCCAAAAAGAATAGACAGGACTAGTTCATATCAATTTTATTCTGCAATCGTTAACAGAGGTCTATTTCTCTTGGTTATCTCTTTTTTTCCTTCTTCCTTCATTTTTTTTTTTTTGTTTCAGGGAATGCATTTCAAAAGGGTTGTCAATAAAATATCTAACCGTGGATGAAGTGATTGATTATATCAAAGAAAAAGGTTTATTCTTGAACTCAGATGACAAATGTGTGCATTAGAATCTTATTTTTCTAATTTTCTTCCTGTGAAAACACCATAGTCGGGTCAAAGGTCCATATGCCTACCTTATACAAAAAAATAAAATAAATTAAAACTTTGGAGCAATTGTCAAATCCTCTAAAACAGTGTATATCTTGTGTTTCTCAACATATCTATTGCAGTAACAAGATACAAAGTAACAGTATGGACATCAGCTGTTAACAATATACTTTGTCATAAGCATGTACATAAAGCAAAATCTTGTGGCAACATTGCTCTGGGATACATATGACTACAAAGTCGGGTCATGTCAATGAAGTATGCCATTTTCCTAGTCATAACTGGGGGAAACTTGAGTGTTAATATCTAACAAAATTCACTCAATCGCTATGTATCATGATGTTTTAACTCTAATCCAAAAATAGCATATACCATATATACAGAAACCAAAAGATGGAGAGACAATCTATGATCTTAGCTTATGTTTACATGACCACTTCCGAGATGTTCCAGTACCATTCAATCTTTCTTTTTGCAGCTTCACATCACAGTTACTTAAATGATGATCAAATTCTTTAATATTTCTAACAATAGCATGTACCCTGGTCTCAGTTCTGGCGGCCAATGTGACCTTCCTCTCAATAACTTCAGTCTGTACACAGCAAGAATCTTGAACTGCATTGTCTCTCAGCTTTTGAAATATGGCATCCTTGTCATGCTTAAAACATCGACTTAAAACCTGCACAGTGATATGATAAGATACATATTCGTCACTGTTGTACATTATAACGCAACAAGAAAAAACATTTCAGAATGGACAAGTTTTCTTTAGTTTTTTTGTTCCTTTTTTTTTCATATTCTCAGTTTCTCACCTCAAAATCAAAAGGGATTGTAATCTGGATGGATAGACAACCACACCCATACTGAAGTTGTGTTTCAAGAAAATTTCAAACCTTTCTGACCTTCCAGTTCTCCTGTACCCACAAACAAAGATGTCAAGAGGAAGTGGATAGATAACTTGTAGGCTAGTATAGAAACAAACCCTTCATATAAAAGAAGACTAGGTAAGAATGAGAATCATTTTAAAAAGATTCATTCTAAATCAGGCTGAGTAACACAATCAACTGCCAGTTTAACCTTATGATATCTGTTTCAAGTAAATGACATTTGATACATGACATGGTGGAAATTCAATGGTGAAGAATTTTCTGGGAGTCAACGAATATCTCAAGGTTGAGTTAAGCCAATATCAATTCTCTTCCATCATGCAGTTTTAAACTCCAAAGGTAGCACTCGTAAGTCATAAATGATGAACCACATTACCAAATTGCAACTAACTGAATGCTAACAACTTTATTCTCCTATCAGTAAGTTCAGAATTCCAGCACAGGAATAGGATAAGGGTTACCTTTTTAGTTGAAATGGCTCTTTAAGCATAATAGCTTCCTTGTACTTATGATTGTCTGAGAAGGAAACCTGGATACAGAAACAGAAGCATCAGAAAACAAGGCCAATCAGGTATGCAACGACTTTGGCAGCTATAATCTTAAACTAAAAGGAGTTTGAAATATAATATGACGACAATAGACTTTATGAAAGGCAATGGAGCACTTAGTCCATGCACACTTGCCAAGCGAAATGTTCCAATTCACATATCTTTCATCTGCAATTCAAACGTAGTCGGGCTCTGTGAGGAAACATTGAAACATAGCCTTGGATGATTAAGACAAAATGCACAGCAATATTCAAGCTAAGGCATGCTACCTGCACCTGGAGATTTGCTTAGGATTGTCTGGAACAGATCAATCCTGATATATGGAGGAATCTGCAAATTAAGCAAGTCCATAACACCTGAAATGACCTGCACACATTCAAGTTAAACGCACAAAGAAAGACTGTAATAATGTAAATAAAGAACAAATATACAAATATATTTCTATATATGCATTGGCGGCAAAGTTTAACATTTTGAACCATTGTCAAAAATAATTAATCAGTCTACTTCAATATGCAGATATATCATGAATTATCTCTGTCATTAGCCAGATTTCACATGGCGACCTGGTTCAAAATGTTAAACTTATCTGCCAATACACATCTACAATTATATATAAATATAATGCAGTTTCAACAAGGTTTAAAGAGAATTTGTGACAGAAACAAATATAAATCTTATTGGAAATTAGTAATGTTGATTTGAGTAAATGAATTTTTTGGTCTACTGACTTTATACATTTGTGTTTTCAATGAAAATCACTTATCTTTACTGAAAGTATGAGAGAAATGCAAAAATAATCAATAAACATACAAAAAGAAAAAAGAAGAAAAGAATTAAAATGGTGAAAAAGGTTCAGACTTGTCCAATAAAC